GAGCGTCGTCGTCCGTCAAGAGATCGCTGTCGCCTGGTAAGTGTGACATATCGACAATTCACTTGATAAGTTACGTATATACTTTACACACATCTATAGAAAGTATTTCTGAATACTTCTAGAAAGATAAGTCACCTTTTATATCGAGAAGTATATATATAATGTGTATAAAATTAGAAATTAATCTAAAAACTTAGTGCAAAAAAGTTGCCGTATTTATGTGTGTCATATAATACAATAAAGTACAATAAAGTGTTTATTTTTTATTAATAAAATAGAGAAAAAGTCATTATCGATTACAGTTCATTATTTTTTTTTCAAAATCAGAGAGGAAAAGAGTTATAAAATAATGTGTATAGAATGATATGTCTTGTATGTATATGTATATATTATATATACAGGACGATTCATTTTTTCATGACATTTGAATTCATGATTTAAACAACTTTTGAAAAATTGTGATATAATTTTAAAACAGAAGCTAAATATTTGCAAATTAATACAAATTAACTTATTTTGTTTCTTTTTTTACATTTTTTTATTTCTTAATAGTAAGAAACTTTGAAATTAATATATGAACCATTTCTATTCTTTGTGTTTTTAGAAATACAAGTTTATTTATTTTATTTAATACATTGTTGTGGTATTTTAGGCAATAAATAGCTTTTTGCACGAATGACATATTTATAAATTTATTTATGTAAATACATGATATAAAAATATGTTGTTATATAGAAACTGTTATATTTCATAATATAAAAATATCTTCTCTTTTATATATACACATTATTATCATTTATGCCATGTAACATAGCATTACATAGTACATAAAATCAGTAGTAGAAATTAAAATTCATATTTTTGCATGACTTTATGATTAATTATATATGCACATTGTGATATTATAAACATATAAAAATTTACAAAAGATTTTTTTTGCAAGGATTGATTGAATAAAAAGAAAAATATTTGAAAGTGTAATAATTTAATAAATTAATATTAAAAGTTTTATAATAAAACTAAATTTCTCTATTTTAAAATTAAACCTTGATCTTATATATTTTGATTCTTTTTTCTTTTTGTTAAAGTTTGATAGTCTACTGAAAAATAGAAAAAAAAATAAAATTATTTTTAGGTCAATTTTTGAATTCTTTTACCGCTATTTTTGTATTATAGTTTTGTATTTAAAAAAATGATTTCCTAACTGACGACAACAATCATCTTTTTTTTAAAGAGGAAACCCCACTTTAAGGAAAAAATGAGGTCAAGGTATTTTGCAAGTATTGGCTTTTCCTCGATTGATTATCAATCGTATGACTCATACTGTAATTTCGGGCCGCTGATTGTTGATAGCTTGACATTTACCGGATATGCATTCGTCCAGAAAAGGAATGGTTTGGAGTATATAAAAATAAAAAATAAAATAAAAGATAAATTTTAATTGAAACAGCGGCTTAGATGCTTACAACATTGATTAGATAAATTTAAAATGACAGTTTTTTTTATACTAAAAAAATGTAATTTATAAAATAAAAAATTATCAAAGATTACATAACAAATTTCTTAAGAATTTTAGAATTTTCTTACGTATATGTATATGTATAACAATATATAGCAGCAAATATTTTTTTTTTTACGACTTTAACAATCTGAGCATAAAGAGAAAATATTGCCAAGTTATAATATTTAACAAAATTTTCTCGAATATATTTCTAGCCGAAACAACTAAAATTTAAATATATATTAATAATTTATACGGATAAGAACTGATAGCGAAAGTTGTGTAAAGATACACATATATCTGTCTCACATATTTGTTAGTTCATTGAAAAATATAGATATCGCTGTGCAATGATATCGCCATCGCTTATTAAAAAAATTGCTGTCGCTGTTAAACAACGTCGCGAAAAGTTTTGCAATCCGCATACTGGAATAATGACACGCGCACATACACAAACACGATGACACCCGACGATGACGCACCATCGTCCACGTCAAGAGATTGCACGCAGTCAATCAACTCAAACAAAGGATGTATGTATGTATATACTTACGTTCGCGTTTTTTCTCTTTTCGTAGAGGCCACTGGCATCACAGAGAGATCGCCCAAGCGTGTGGCTGTTTCGGAGCTGAAATCATTTTCGGACGGAATTTCTGGCCGATTGTCACCCAGAGAACTTAGCGAGATGCCAGTTCTGACGAGAGTCTGTTCTCCTGCGACATTGCCGAGGCTCAAGAAATTTCGATTTCGACCCATCGATGGTAAGTCATGTTTCTTATTAAATCGGTAATAGGATAGATAAACTGGACAATTTATTAATTTATAATTAACAATTTAATCTTTTATTTTTGGTAAAATATCCAAAAATCGAAAGATTTTATATATAACTCTGATTTTTAACATTCTGAATCTTTAGATCTAAAGGGACGAAACGAGATTGTAATGTCTTGCATATGTATATTCTCTGAATTTTATAAATTTTTTAATTTTAGATAAGATCTTTGAATTTATATTCTTTCTTGGATTATATTTTTTACTTACATTTTAAAATATTTATATCTTTCAATTTTTACACTCTTAAATTATTTTGAATTTTCTTCAAAACTTTAAACGCTTAAGCATTTTAATTTTTGGAAAGGCAAATATCATGATTCAAACTATGCGGCATAATAAAACAGTTATTTTGCATTTATTGAATAATAAGTAATGATTGAAATAAGTGATTTTCCTTTGAAGAATGATTCGCTTTTTTCGTAAAATCATTGATAAAATTCTTAAGATGGGTATATCATTATTAAGGAAATAATATCAAATCTCTATCACACACAATTATTAAAAGTCTTATATAAATTTTATCGACTGTTTTATGCGAAAGATTCCTCTTTGTGCTATTATTTTTACTACGAAAGATTTAAATAATGTTTTTAATTTCTTCTCAATCACATTTGTGGGTGAAATTTCATTGAGCTTTCTCCAACATTATTTATTGAATTCCACAAAACTTATCATATTTTATATGCTATAATTGAATAATCTCGTATTGTAAAAATCACAAATAGAAGTTTAATATAAATATAAACATATATTACTATATAGAATTATGTTAATTATGTTAATTGAATATACAAAATTTAATTATAATTTGATCTATATAATAGTAAAATTAAAAAAGTTTAATGAAAGATCTAGAGAGAAAGACACTCTCAAGAGCAAACATCGAAGCTTTCATTCTGTTTGATAATTGCGAGACACACTATATAGCACGTATTATCTTATACATCGTACTTGAGCGAATCGTATTTTATCAGGCTGGTTTTGTGACGTCTCTACCGATATAGTACATATGTACAAAGACGCCTTATCAGCAGCGGCAGCGGGTGTTACGTGTTACTATAAGCTGCCGTATCCGAGTTCGTGTGTAAATCGCCATTATTCTCGACAAACAATAAACCCTCTATGGTGATACGCACCCACGACTCGAAAATATCGAGAAATCGCGAAAAGCATATAACATTCTGCTCGCCTGGCATATTCTCACATCGTTAACTTAAAACTTAAATAAACAAAACGTCGAAATAATGAAATTTTTAACGTTTGATAGAGTATACATCGATAGAGTAGATTTGTAAAATATGCCGAAGACCTGATTTTTGATAAGAAACGAAGCATGGAAAAAATTGTGGAAAACTCGAGAAGCATAAAATTACACTTTTGTCAAGAAAACTAGAAATTATGAAAATTATTATATATATTTTTTAAATATTTTTTGTTTTTGTTTTTTTTTTGTTACGAAAAATGTAATATTTTAGTTTAATGATAAATTTTCTGGCACGTTTTATAAATCTGCTTTATCACGCTTACGCGATAGTTTCATTAAATAAAAATTAATTGTTTCAAGGAACTTGAAACTTATTTCGCTTGTTTTCTCGATTCTGATGTCATGAGTATCAGATAATTGATATGATCATCGGCGATGTTTAATTATCGTTGTATATCACTGAATATACGGCGTACACATCAATTAATATCAATGTTACTCTTTCTGATCTTTACAATTTTTGAAACTATGAATTCTTAATGATTTTATTACAATGAAATTAACAATGATTTTATTAGGATGCTTTGGTAATCTTCATATCAATATCTTTTATTTTTTGTTTTTGTTTTTTTTTGTTACGAAAAATGTAATATTTTAGTTTAATGATCAATTTTCTGGCACGTTTTATAAATCTGCTTTATCACGCTTACGCGATAGTTTCATTAAATAAAAATTAATTGTTTCAAGGAACTTGAAACTTATTTCGCTTGTTTTCTCGATTCTGATGTCATGAGTATCAGATAATTGATATGATCATCGGCGATGTTTAATTATCGTTGTATATCACTGAATATACGGCGTACACATCAATTAATATCAATGTTACTCTTTCTGATATTTACAATTTTTGAAACTATGAATTCTTAATGATTTTATTACAATGAAATTAACAATGATTTTATTAGGATGCTTTGGTAATCTTCATATCAATATCTTTTATCTCTGAGAATCTGTCTTTCTTGTCTATAAATCTTTGGATTTTCGCAAATATTACATATCTTTAAGGCGCGAAAGAACGTAAATGTTCGCAGTTACCGAACTATTCATGCACGTATCAACATTTTCCCACAATATTCAAGTCAAAAAAGAAGAAAAAAAAATAGATGTTTTGAAAAACATTTACTCTAAGATTTTGGTGCTATCTTAACATAAATAATTACAACTCTAAAGATCTTTATTTATTTTTATCCCTACATACAAGCGAAGGCGTCTAATAAAAATACAGCCATTTAGATGTATACATATAAAGAAATAAGAGAAAAAAAAGCAAAAAGACAAGGAAAATCGTATGTTTGCAGCATCAATGGGTGCATCGATCGATCAGTTGCATGTGAGTGGTAAACTGGAACCTTCCGCATACGAGGACATCGTGCGTGAATACATATGTTTATCGCTCGTTCGATCTGGCTGATGCCCGCGTGTATGATGTCAGACTCTATCTTTGGTACACGGAATTTTAGATAACTACGCAAACGCACTACATGAACTTTCTGCGAGAGGACGAGGGGGTTGGTTGAATGTTTGAATCTTTTTTATATGTGCTGGATAGGTTCTTGAAAATCTCTAAATTAGATCCCTAAATTTTTCGATCTTTGACGCGCATTTGAATCTTGAAGTTTTCGGATTCTGAGATCGTTAAGTTTTTAATTTTTTGAGAAACTTAAGTTTTTGAAATTTATATACATATAAAAGTATTTAGAATTTTTTATATTTTCGACGATTTATAGAATTTTTGATTTTTGTAATTTAGAATCATTGAATCATACCGTTTAATTCGATTTTAATACACGTTGTATTTTTATATTTTTAAAAATTTGTATGTCGAAATTTCACGATTATAAATTATTGGATCTATATATTTTCCTATCTAATTGGTTTTGTGAATTTTAAAGATATTTTTGAGAGATGCAGTTTCTAGATACGCAAATTACATTATTCTGTAAATATTTTAGAGGTAAAGAGAGAGAGAGAGAGAGAGAATAAGAGACGCGAAAAAACTGCGTCACGAACTAATAAAAACAGTTTCATTCATTTCGTTTATTTAGGACTTATGTTTCCTGTCTACGTAAGCATCGCGTAAGCATCGAAGAATAGTCGATTAAATTTTCAGAATTGGTTATCATATATAAGTATGAACGCGTCAATGTCATTATAACGCAATCTTATCTTTTCCCTGGTCAGATTAATAGAAGGATCTAGGATTGCATCGATTAATCGTGATAAAAAAAACAAATCCGAGGATTTCATAATTTCATAATAAAAAAAAAAAAAGAATCATCACACGAGATAATGCTCAGATCCAAAAGAAAGTTCAAATAGCTGTTAGAGAAATAAAATTCGCCGCGGATTCACCTGAGAAAACAATACGCATGTGTTAATCGTGCTCTCGAGTTTTTTTTTCATCTCAGCTTGCGCATATAAAACATGTAAAAAACGTTATTCCGTGTGTGACAAAATTATCGAGCGTATCGAAATAAAGCGGTTGATTAACGTCAAGAAATACTATACAATATTGATTATCGGAAATAATTGACGAATAATTAATCCATAGTCTATGGAACGAACCAAGAAAACATGCGATACAAATAGCTTTCTTCTTTACACTACTCGTAATTATTCAGATACACTTCAGTTCTATAACTCTTTTAAAGGCTAACTCTGTGTTCTCCATATTTAAACAGATTTTTTTTTAACCTTTCCATGTTTTACTCTGACGTATTTTCTGTATTTCATTTATATTTTCATCAGATAGCACATCATTTCGTTGGCGTTGGCTATTTTCGTGTGGCAGCGATTTAAATTAAACTCATAATCTAAATATACAAAGTGTCTCAGAGATTAATCGTACTTTTGCGTTTCTTTAGTCAATTTTGAATCGGCTTTTTTATAGAATTTTTATGGCTATCGATAAGTTTTGAATTTGGTATAACCCATTGAATTTCGATAATGCTTGTTCTTTTTTAATGATTTTTCATTAATAATTAATATTTTTGTCTTACATTTAAAAAACACAGAAAAACTAAAAATATTTTTTTAAATGTATTTTAGATGCTGCGATAAAAATATTTTTCTTAAAACTTTTCGGAGATTGGATAAATTTTCGATTTGTAGTATTTCCGGATCTTTAGATTGAAAATTCTTTCACTCAGAGATGATACTATAAATCATAGCCGCCATTTGCAAATTTGGATGGAGAAATTTATATGTTGGATGGCAGATGGAAGTGCATCATAATGTATATAATACAAATTTTGATATATGGAATATGATCATATCATAAATTAGGAATAAGGAAACAATTTTTAGTCTTTATGATTGAACAACTTCTCTTAATCTCTTATGTATAGAACGTAATTAATTACAATCTTTCAAAATTGCCTTTATCATCATTTATCATACGATAGCATGTTATTATTATTCAGAATTAATATTATTCAGAAAAATATGAAAATATATAAAGAATAATCTTTTTCCAAGTCGTGAAAATGACAATAAGTTGAAATCGTCAAGACGGCAAAATGCTAATGTGATAAAGAACTCGGTGAGACCATTTGATATTAATATTCGAAACGCCGACGACTGATATCGATCACGTGGAAGCCCCTTTACGTCTCTCACATTGCTATAGTTCTCGCGTGTGATATCTTGGTAATACTATTAATA